GAAAATTCACATATACTGAGGAGTGGGTCTCAGCCACAGACCAGCCTGCAACCCAGCTTGCTGCACAAGGTCTGCCAGAGCTCAGGCAGGCAGGTGTATATCCCACTAAACCGTGACACAAAGGACTGGCAGGGAGGAGGTGGGTTTATGTAAGCCTACAAGCCTAAACACCAACATGGTCAAGGAATTGTGAGCATGCCACTGCACGTTTTAAGAATGAGTGGCAATTAATGGAACAGCACAAGTAAAGGCTTGTGATGTAATATCCCTGAGTCAACTAATCCAAATTGTACCTGTTGTCACCTGCCTCCCTTGTTACCTTACATAAGTCATCTCTTCACTCTTGTCTTTTGCAGTCAGATAATGGCACAGCTTATGGCTCCTCAGCAGGACAGTCTCTGTCCAGGCTGGGATTTGCATCTTTTCCCTCATCCGGCCTGTATTGCTGCTTTGATCTCTCCTTGGGCTGATTTAGCTCAGCTAGCTGTCAGGTATTAACCCAAGAAAATAAACTGAATAATTACCTGGCAGTTCCATGATCTGAATCATCTCACCAGTTTCACATGCTAGGCAGAGATCACAGAGCCAGGAGATGGATGAAGAGGAGTGGAATAGCTGTTTCAATCCGAGAAGACATTTTTGGCTGTCTCAACTGCTGCACTGACCCACAGCTCAAAGGCTTTCTGCACTGTGCTGGCTCTGCTGCATTTTGTGGTGCTTCTATGTTCTGTAGGACCAACTGCTTTGGAAGGAGGAAGATGCTCCAGTGAACTGAACAGTCACACCGTATATGACTTGCTGTCCAACTTCACTTCTGTGTGAATTTTTACCTCATCATCTTTATTTATTTACCTAGTTAAAATTACTGTATAATTTCCCATTGCAGTTGGTCCCTGGGCACTCACTGGAGTATCTAAATTTGTCCAGTCTCTGGGAGAGACCCTCAATACAAACACAAATGCTAATGTGGCTCCTTGTTACACAGAGATTTCTGGGTTTGTTTATCTGCAGGAGGAGTTAAGAAATAGTTTTGCATTTAAAAACAGGACAACCTGAACTGATAATTCTTTTTTTTGATCTTAGTTGTTTGAATGAGCTGTGGATTAAAGCTGCATGTTCTACCACAGCATTAATAAGATGACGTTAGGCTTGATTTCCCTTGCTTTACATGAGAAGTCTGTGGAGAATCTTGGATTTGCTTGGCAAAAGAATACATTATCATGATAAACAGCATTCCTGAAGCCTTATGAAATCACCAAAAAGAATGTAAGTCTTAAGGTTGCCTCAGTGACAACGAAGTGTGAATTGGCTGAATTTCAGGTCAGCTAGGGTGGCTGAGGAAAGTGTTTGGTCCAGACTAAGCAACTTCATTTCATTACATCTGGTGCTTACAAAATTTGGTTTGGTTTTCATTAAAGGACATTTAGACTTTTTATTTTGGGGGAAAAACTCATTTTTAGAAGGAAATGCAAGAACGAGGTAAGTTAATTTCAAGTATGATCTTATGCTGGAAAATAGAACAAAAAAAAAAGAAGCCTTATGAGTGAAGACTATATGGACTGACCTAGGATATTTTTTCATAAGATAGGTAATGTAGTATCTCCACTTCATTAAAGATTAAGAACTTAAGTTGTGTTTAAACATTTTATTCAATGTGTAGGGAAAACAGTGGAAAAACTTTCTAACATTTTAAGGTCTGTTTAATTTTTTTGTTTTAAAAGGGGAACTTGTGCAAGATCTAGCTCTGTCCCTGTGGTAGGAATATGCCTACATTGCCTTCAGCTCCATGCTGTTATTTCTTTTGCTTGGAAGATGAGTTTGTCATGATCAGATTCTGCGGGCTAGACAGACATGAGATGCAGCCATGCATGCCATGTGTGGGAATATGTTCAAGGTTTTCCACAACTGGTTCTTTGGTCTGTTTACAGATAGAGAAGTGGCAGGATCTGCTAGCACTGCTGACAGGGTCAGAAGCTCTATGGATGGCTTTGTTTCCTCACTTCAATCATTGCACTTCAGTATTTCAATGCCTACAATCTTCCCTGAAGGTTTGAAGTCAGATGAACTAAGCCAGGCCCACAACTGTAAAAATCAGTGTAGTAGAATGTCAATCCAGAGGGTCAAAAAGGCCATCAGTTCCACTTACCTCATAATATTGTAAACTACAAAATATTTCTTAATATTCTCTTAACAATTTTTGCCACTTGAAGTAAATTATCAAAAGCTGTAATTATAATGAGCTAGACAGATATCAGGGAAGATCAAACACATCCCTCCAGCAGCCTAAATTCTTGAGAGTATTTTCTAGATTTAATTCTCAGGAGTATTCTCTTGGGCCAATGCCCAAGCTGGAAAGGTTCAAATAAAACCAGTGATCCACTGCCAGTCTTCTTGGGGGTGATGCTTTTGTGACCTGGTGGGATCAATTTTCTTCCTAAACATAGGAGGAAGTATTTAGACAGCTTCAGTACCAGTGGAATAAGAAAGCAAGTCCTCCTATAGTCCTCCAAGCGATCTCCTAGGCTTCCAAGGAAAAAACAAGTAACAAAACAAAAGAGCCAAGACAAATTATGCAGCAAGGGGGAAGAAATGCTTTCCAGTACCTGCAGGCAGGCAGTCCAAAGCATGAAGCGGTAGATTAGCATATGATCAGCAGGCAGCAATCAAGACTTTCTAAGAAATAATGCCCCAGACTCAGCACGATTTTTCATTTGAATATAACAGAGCAGTCTCTTTCCTTATCTTACGTATTGCTTTTCAGGAATATCATAGAATCATATCATCAGATAATTATTTTTATCTTGTACTCCAGTATAACACAACTCCCTGTCCAAGTAGCAAAGTTAGTTATTTTTTATATAGCTGATTTTGACTTCCTAAGGACAGTACTTTGCAGTTGCTTTTACTGGATTTTGTGTGATATTCTATACCATGCCTTCTGCTTCTGAATTTGAGTTGGACAATGCTCTTGCAGTTTGTCACTCACCCATCCCTTTGATTGTGCACTGTACTGTCACCCTGGCTATTAACAGAAATAGAGGCTAAGTTCTCACTCAAGACAGAGCTCAGCAAGTCTTTGATGTCACTGTGCTGTTCAAGTTCTGTGCTGCTTTTTTCTTTTGTTAAAATGATTGGAAGATAAGATTTCAATTTAAACTTTAAAAACTTTCCTTGGTATGTAAGTGACAACATTTGTCACTACAAATGCTTTTAAGGATGTTTATATACAATAGTTCCAAGATCTAAATGATCTTTGTTTAAAATCTGTCAGGGGAAAAATCCTGCCACAACTAAATATGTAGCACTGATATTTGAAATCAGAGCAGAGTGTTTGGCGTATACTTTAAGTGCTATCAGCTGCTTTCCGAGAGGAAGGAGACATTTCTGTAGCAGGTTAATTGTGGGATAACAAGCAAATACTGTGTCTTTACAATAATTATTTTAAATAAATTCGAGCTATATGGAACCTTTCTATAATGAAACCATTATTTTCACAGAACAACTTTAGTATACGTGGAAGTAGAATTGGTGATGTATTGAAACAATTAATTTCATGATCAGGGCTGTTCTACAGTTCCTAGGTACAGAAATTCTTCCAAGGGCAATGAAGGAGGTATTACTTGAAACAGCTTTCCTGGTTTCTTAGCAGGTCATGACCTTCTCATGAAGGTCAGGAAGGAAAAAAAAGTCTGAATCCTCAAAAGCCATTTTAGAACTAGGGGGATCTGAATGGCCTGTAGGTCATGTATTGTTGCACGCTGCTGTCAGAGTGAGGTGCTTGCCTCGGTCTCTTACCTCCTTTCTGGTGGCTCTCTGTACTGCAAGTGAAGACCATTTTGTCATCACTACAATCATTTGAATATCTAAAAGATTGGTTTGCTTATATGTATTTTATGTGCCACTCTGTCCTTTAATTCAGCTCAAAATATTTGAGTTTGTAAGAGTTTCTAGAATTGAGTCTCAGAAGAATTAGTCAAAAGATTTGGACTTTTTAATGACGTTGTTTGTCTGGTTCAGACCTATTGCTCTAACCTCTGCAAAGCTATCATTTGTAGTCCCCACCGCAAACAAATAAATGATCTGACAAGTAACTGCTAAAGAAGGAGGCAGCCAGATTGCTTAATGTCTGTACTGAATTATAAAATCCCATGTTTGATCCAGCTGATGAATGATATTTATACAGAAATGAATTAGTCTTTGTTTCACTTTAGAAGACAGGTGTCTGCTAGGGAGGGCAGGAGCCTCCCTTGGAATGAAAATGTAGACCCCTCCCCTCCCTCCAAATTATTATAATTTTGAAATCAGGGGGCTTTCAGGCAGAGATCTGGGGATAGGAATAACAGTTCTTTACTAGTATGTATAACAAGGCAAACAACCAACAATAACTACAGCATTAGCAACAAAACAGAACCAGGGACCCCGTGACAGCTTTCTCGGCCGAGACAGGAAGGGATGGAGGAGAGGTTTTGTTTCACAAACCCCCTCGGGCAGTCAGTCCCAGTGCTCCTGCAGGGCTCTGAGGAGCACCCAGCTGGAACAGCAGGGATGAGCTGAGATCCTGGGCTGGTGGATGAGGTGTATCAGCAGCTCCGTGGCGGTGGCTGACACTGCCACACGTCCCGGCAGGACAGGGGGTGCGAGGCCACCAACGAAGAGGGAAGAAGGAGAGGAAGAAGCAGCAGCAGCTCTGTCTGGGTGATGGCGAATTCCCTTCTCCGAAAGGCAACAGCTCCGAGAGAGTGTCTTGCTCTCAAGCCCAAGAAGCCACCCAGCCCCCAGCTGCCCCTGCCCTTCCCCTCCCCTGCCCCTCTTCCCCCCTGGGCCCAGACAAACTCTTTGTGCTTCTCAAACACCCAACAAGTGCCATCAATCAGATGTCCCCACAACTAACGGGTAAAAATTCCATAGGTGAGGAGGAACAAAAGAAAGGACACCCAACCAAACCCCAACAGTCTTGATGCAAATTCATACACATGGTGTACTTTTGTTTTTCTGTGCAGAGCTGTGTACCCTGGACTGTGGCAGCCACGGGGTCTGCTCCAGAGGGATATGCCAATGTGAAGAGGGCTGGGTGGGTCCCACCTGCGAAGAACGGACCTGCCATTCCCACTGTGCCGAGCACGGGCAGTGCAAGGACGGGAAGTGTGAGTGCAGCCCCGGATGGGAAGGGGACCACTGCACCATTGGTAAGGGGGTTTTGTATCTCAAGAAACGAAATACATAAAATCTTAATCCAGTCCTACGCAGATCGCCATCATTCTGATCATCTGTTCTGATTGAAATCTGTTTGGGAAAACAGAGACTCAGAATCCAGACAGGTGTAAAAAAGGTGCCTCTGCACGCTGTCCCACAGAATAGTAACTTGGCACAGCTTTCTTTATAGAGGAAATAACATTAATTAATTAAAAAAAAAAAAAAAACACAGAAAGGAAAGCTCAGTCCTAACATATCTTTGGGATGTGTTCATGTGTGAATTTTGTAGTCAGGAAGGAAAAAAAAATGTTTAAAAAATAGAAGGTGTGAGGAGACAAAGCTATTATTTACCTTATGTAATTGTTGCATTAAATCTCTTGCCTTTCTGTCTGAGAATTTATATGTTTTGCTTACTGCTAATGGTATTTTTCCTAGAGCTGACTTCTAACAATATTCCTAATGAGGTAAAGCTTTCAGATCTTTTTAGAAGTCAAGATAATTCATTCCCTGGCTCTAGAATTCACTAAATCAGATTTGCTAAATTAAGAATTAGGTTTGTGATGGAGGAACAGCCTAATTTTCTGAAGATTGTTTAGAGGAAATCCACAGAAGGACCAAAACACTTAAAAAGACAAGAAGACCTACTGTTCACATTGTAGACAGTACCAGGTGTGGCCCCAGCACACTTGTCATCACATTGAGGACGGTCACAAACACAGTGTTCTTGGTCACAGCAGCAGGAATAGATCTGCCTGCAGGAAGAGGGAGACATTTTATATCTAATCCCCAGGTGTCAAGCCATAAGCAAATATACATTTGGTTTCATGTGGTACAGAAGTTTGACCCATCTCAGTTTTGTTCTTTTCTTTTTTAAGCTCACTACTTAGATGCTGTTCAAGGTAAGTTTTTCATATCAGCATTCCAAAACAAAATAATAAAAATATACAAAAGTTTTGGGAATGGAATATTTTCTGTTACCCATTTTGTTCAAGTTTCTGTTCTGCTAGGTTCCCAGAATAGATGACATATTTGTTTATGGAGGTATATATAGATATATATGCACATACAGAGAGAGATTTACAGCAGAAACTGCAGTTTTTAATAAGTAATGTGCTCAACTCATTTTGAAAGTTGTAGCAGTGTAAGCATGTTTTACAGGGCCATCTGATGTGCTGTGTTAGGCAAATCCATTATTTGCTCTTGTTTACCATCCAAAGTAATGCCAGAGCTGAGCACTTGCTAAAAAGCTTGTCTTGATACTGTCTCCCATGAGAAGTAAAAAAAATACTCTTTTGTCATTTATGCTTGAAGTAAGTTTTGCTAGAGAAGTACTCTTGCTTTCTAAAGCTGTCTGTGCCAGATGTGATCTAGTTCTCTTCAAATCATTTGATACAAGAGTTAAATTTGATGTTGCTTTGTGTCTGGTGCTGTTCATTTGATTCCCGTGCCTTGCCGCAGGTCATGCTCATTCATGTCAGTGCAAGAACCTTCCCCCAGTGGGACAGCAGTCCCTCTGCCTGGCCCACACTGAGCAGAGCAGTGATGCACAGCCCCTTCCAAAAGTGCTGCTCACTGAAATACCAAACTCACCATTACTTCAGAAAGAGCTCAGTGCTTATTTTCTGTTTCTTACTTTATTTCTTTGGAATTAGATAATAATAAAAGCACATAAGCATTCATTTTATTGCATTTATAGACTTTGAGGGTAACCATACACAGTAGCAAAATACAATCATGTACAGAAATCAGTTAACTCAGCAGAGTGATTGAAAGTGGAAAGACACTAACATTACCCAAAAGAGCTCTCACGTTTCCCTTTCCCCCAACTCGCTGAAGGAGGCTTTTATAGTATATTTCGTTTTTGCCAAGTTCATGTTGTTTTGGAGTAGCATCTCCTATAACTCAGTGTGAGATAAGGGTGCCACCCATCTCCAGTTTTTCAGAGCAAGAGAGTCAGACTCTCTGATCCCTCTGTTTTGCAGATGTGATTGATAAAGTGTGCCAAGGGTGAGAGGAGGGAGATTGTGGGTCTCATGTAAAGTTACCAGAAAATGTGCTACATGTGGGGCTGTGAATCGCAGCCTGGCAGACCAGGCTCTCCAACTGGCTCCTCCAAAGTCCATTTGGAGCATCTTGGGGCTGGCAGGCACTGATTCTTTCCTCATCAAAAAAACCCTCTCTCTGATAATGCCTGTGTTGGTGATCAGTATCAGGTGCTCAGGAGCTTTCAGACTCTGTATATGTCCATGGTGGCAAAAAGTAAGGAGCCATCTTAGATTTGATGGCGCTCACTCTGTTAAACTTACTGCCAAGCTTTATCCATTGTCCTTTGGCTCTGTGTGTGACAAATGTCTGAGCTGGCAATGCACTATGCAAGCAGATGGACATGAGTGTACATCCAAGAGACCATTCCTCTCTCACTCTTACAGGCAAGAAATGTAGATGTGAATTTCCAAGTTACTATTGATTCAGAGCTTGCAAGTATATAATCAAGAGGATGCTACAGTCCTTGGTCCAGTTTTGATCTAGAATCAGTGCCATCAAAGGGCATGTGTTGGTTCTGTTGGAATCAGCTATAAGGGAAGAAAGTGGAACAGGAAGGCAATGCTCCCTCAACTGCCGTCTGTGGAAAGTGTATGCTGTAGCATAAATCAAATTGGCTTTTTCTCAGTCAGATGAGCATTTATGAACAGAATAAAAAGGTCACTTCCACTCCCTGAAATGTGTAGGATTATGTCCACAGATGCCATTTTGTCATTTAGACAATATTTTCCATGTGTATCTTTGATATAAATTTTGATTATGTGTGTGATATTGTTAGTGAACAACAGTTTATTTTTCGATAGAGAAAGAGATGGACATGACTTTAGAACTTTATAGCATGACTTTGCTCACTTTTTTCCTGTGCACAAAATATTAAACACTGAAAAAAATCCTCATTCCTCACTGAGAAACTACTTTTGGGCAAGCAAAGGGAAGGACCAAGTTGGGGATTTTTCCATATTCAGCCAGAAATGTAAGTGGCTTCCAAGCTGTGATCATTTAAAGGCAGCAAGTATAGTACTAGAAGTAGGAATGTTAATGAATAATTGCAACTGCAAAATAAGAGGAAATACCCCTTCATGAAAGCCTTTTTTTTTTTACACCTTCTATTTTAGATGGTTGCCCAGGTCTCTGTTATGGAAATGGGAGGTGCACTCTTGATCAGAATGGGTGGCACTGTGTTTGTCAAGTGGGCTGGAGTGGCTCGGGATGTAACATTGTCATGGAAATGGTGTGTGCAGATAACCTGGACAATGATGGAGGTATGATACATAATTCATGTGTCTCTGTTTATCTCTCACATCCTTGACTGTCATTTAAATCCACAGTTTTGGTGTGTGCTTTCCTTTTTATCACAAAATGTCAATGTTTGTCTGTTTGCTCAAGACAGTTGTTCCACTGACTTCATCTGAAGCAGCAGAGTGAGGGAACAGACCCTTGTGCTGGATGCTACTGAAGGCAGAAAGTATCTGTGGCCATATCTACAATCCCAGTACTTGTTTTTTTCTCATAAAAAGCAAAACACAACAAAAGTGTAATAAGTAATTTCTTGTATCTCCTTTCCACTCTTCCTCATGATCCTGTCAGTCTTTGAGAAAAAAACAGCCAAGAAATACCCAAATGAAAAAAAAACCCTCTGTGCCTGTCAAAATGCATCCAGTTAGTCTTCTATTATTATTAATTCAATACATTTGCAAGCATAAAGTGCACATTTACAGTTGCTTTTAAAATTAGTCTCTCTTTTAATATTTCTACTGAGACACAGCACAGTTCTTGCAATTATCTGGACCTACTTTTGAAGGACTGTTGAGGAAACTAGTATAGAAATTGGGCAGAAGAGATTTTGGAAAGTACCATAAACAGAGCCCTGTACTGAAATAATCATTTGCTCCTTTCTATTAGTTGAACAAGGGCATTTGGCACTAGGTGCTCCTCACCTCAGTCCTGTATGATCTTGATTTCGTTCTAAGGTTGCATTAGTTTTAGGTTTGCTGGGTAAAACACTGTTCTTTCATACATAAGTCTCTGCTTCTTTTCCAATAGCTTGTTCTAATATATGAGTTCGAGCATTTTTTTTTTTAAGAAAAAACATTCAGCTCTATTTCAAACTTGCCATTGGGAGAGAAGCCACAATATTCCTGACTGGTTGCTCTCAGAGTTAATTATTTTTCCTATCTCTTTTAGGAATACTCATTTACTGAACAGTCAAGGACTATTGCTTTTCTCTCCTTCACCTACCACCAGCCTTTACTGTGTGCTTGTACCATCCTCAGAGCTGTGCAGCTTTCTTATTCAGAGAAGGGATTCAAGGCTGGGTTGGATGAGGCTTTGAGAAACCTGGTCTAGTGCAAGATGTCCCTCTGCCACCTCACAGCAGAGGTTTGGAACAAAGTGATCTTTAAGGTCCCTTCCAACCCATGCACTTCTATGCTTTATGATCAGCCCCAAATATGGTTAATTTTTTTTTCCTTAGATTTTATACTGAGATGTATTAAAATACATATTGTCTTATTGTGTCACACCTAAAGAGTGTATCATTGTCCTGGATGAGATCTTATACTTGACTGTAGGGGAAAACCTTGCTATGATAATTGTCTGTTTTCTTCTAGGTTATTGATAAATTAAAGTTGATGTAGGTCCAAGAACTGAGGTCACTGTGGGACCTCAATAGAAACATTCTGACTCAGTGATGATTCCTCATTTACAGATATATTTTGAGACCTTCTGATTTTATATCCTGTGGGCTCTAAGACCCTGCTGTCCTTTGGCAAAGGCTTCCTCATTTTTGAACCTTATTCAAAATCACCTTATTCCTCTCATATCCTTCCTTTTCCTCCTTATTTCCAGGAGGTCCAAGAATCCTGTCTCTGCCCACTGTCTTTGCTCTCCTGCACTAGTGTGTGTCCCTGTCACACAAGGTCCCACAGCTGGCATCCCTGCACCCCTGTGCTCTCCCATCTGTCGCTGCTCTCCCCCGCTGTCCAAGCCACTGACTCACCCGCCTGCTCTCTTAAATCTGCCCACTAAAACCCTGTTTAGTCTGTAATGTATGGAAGGCATTTTCTGATACACTCTGTGAACTGGTTCTGTATAAACTGCCCTGTACTGTGATTTTGGGTGCTTTATATGCTGCAATAACAGCAAGTTATTGGAAGAGTTGGCACTTTTAACTCTAAATCTCCTTGAATTTGTCAGTTTAAAGCAGACACTTCACATCATTTCACTGCAGGTTTCAAAAACAATTTTCTTTTCCCTTTTTAATGGCAACATAACACGGACTAGGACAGCTCTGTTGACATTAAAATTAGAGATATGTGCAGAGAGGAATATTTAATTAATCTGACTACTACAGATGGGCTAAATGTAATTAAGTTTTCTTCACAATCAATTTCATATAAGAAAAGAAAATTATATCTACATATTACAGCCACTTCTCTTTATATATATATGTATATGAAGTTCATAGGACCTGATTTGGCATAAGTATAAATTACAAACATTCCCCTAAAGTCATTTGAGTTACACCACTATTAGATGAATATGAAATCAGAAGCTGTGTGTTGCAGAGTTTGTATACCAACACAACAGGAAAATCAGGAATTGGGAAGGAGGCATGACATTAACTCTTAAGGCCTGTTTGCTGGGACGTTGAGCCTTAGACTATGAGAATATTATGGTGGGATAGCAAGTTTCCATCCATCAAGCTACACAGCTGGAGTAGGTCCATCAGGATGGAAGTTATTAGCATTTTCACCTGCAGCTGAGGTGAGTTAAGAGGTTGCACTCAGGTAGTTAAAGAAACACAGATGACAGGTGGTAACTTCTTAAAGCCTTAGGATGTGATCATGGTCAGTGACACATAGCCCCGGATAATTTAGTGCCCTTGTATAGGCTAAATCATGGAATTCTCACCTAGCAAAGGGCTTAATCACTCCAGTTGTGTTTAAATTAAACATTTATGTATCAGTCCTATTGTGCTTCAAGTTCATTAGGAGCTGGTCACCACCAAAGAACAAAGCTGAAGTAAAGTTGAGCAATTATAATTTCAAACAAACTCTAATTTTAGGACATAAACAAAGGGACACCTTTGTGTAGTTTTACGTTATTTTTTCAGTTAATTTGTCACACGGTACTTTCAGGGATGGAAAAAAAATGAGATTTTTATCATTTAAAACTACATTCCTACACAATAGGAAAAAACACAGGTTAGTCCCAACCATAAGGATTCAATAATGTCATTTAATTGGCATGAGGAAGTGTTAGTGTTGTTGTTTGCCCTGTATTAAGAGCACAAAAGCTTTGAGAGGGGGGGAAAGTCTTGCATTAATTTTTTAAGGACTGATCTAATCATACAAAGAAAAGGCATAAGCATATTCATAGGCATCCTGGTCCTGCAGCCACTGAAGCACCAAGATCCCTTCAGTGCAGTTACTGCTGGTGGTAAGATAAAGCACATGTGGAACTATTCTTGGGGGCAGGGAAAGTACAGTTTCTTTTAGAGCCCCATTAGGATTCTCTGTACTTGTTCCCTGGCTGTACCATAACTGCCTTTCCCATTCCAGCTCATAACTCTCTGTTAGCTTTTTCCTGCTCGCAGACTTAAGGGCATGTTTACCTGTTCAAATATCACTACAAATATCAGTGAAAAGGTCTTAGCATTATAACAGATGCACGATGGCATGGTTTGCACTTGCTCTTATGGAGTTCTTCTGGAGTCTGTTAGCAGTGTGATGTCCATTAAAAAATGCCAAGGACTCAAACAGGTGTCCTTTGCAGTTGGGCCTTTCCCTCACTGTGATTTCCCTTTCCCTCAGGGTAATTCCCCATTCCTTACTTTCCTTCTTTAACTGTCACAACTGAAATGATTTTGGTTTATAAAATGGCAATTCAGCTCATGTGAGCAGGTCATTTCCTCTTGTTCTGCTGCTAATTTAATCTCATTGGAAGCTCCAGTAGCTCCAGATTTCTAGAAAGCTCTGCTGAGCTCTTTGCAGGCAAGGTGCCTGTGTCTTGGGGCAGGGGGCAGAACACACTGCTGAGGTGTGGGGACACACAGGGCGCTCATGGGTCACACCCCACTCAATTGTAGCCAAGATTAAGTTTTCCTGGTTTTTGGACATATTTTTACCCAGCTGCTGCACAAGCAGGTCTTTGTCTCAAGCTGAAAGTTGCAGCCTGTCACTCCTATTAGTTACTTTGATACAGATCTCTCTTTTAAATTTGTCTGCACCTCCTTTTATGGTTTTTCTTTCATTAATCAATCTTGCCTGTTTGTTTTTAAGGAAAATGCTGTTTACTACAAGCTTTGAATTCTTTTCCAAATATGCCTTCAGTCACTTCAGACAGTTATTGTACCTTTCTCCAAGCTATTCCAAGCACAGGGAAATATATGAGTCAGCATAGCCTTGGTTTGATAACCAGTCCTGCTAAAATATTGATGTATTTCTGACCTGTCCATTGGCATTTTAATAACCTATCCATCACAGAGATATTGAGTCCATATATAAGTAATATGCTATTATTACCCTATATAAATAATACTGATGGGGAATGGTTTTCATTGTTGCTGAACAGCGAGGACTCTCTAGGGATACTTAGTTTCTGAAAACCCTGATATATTCATATTATCCCGAGTGTGGAAGGCGAAACACTACTGGTACTCACTGGGTAAAACACTTGCAAGCCTTTCCATAGGTACACTGATGGGTTTCCTTATATAAACACCAGTGTTCCCAGTTAACAGTGTCACTGTCTGCTGCATATTATATATTATGAATAAAATTTGGGCACTTTGAATTAATGCATAAAAATAAGCTTTAGAGACTCTTTGACAGTTGCTGTTGCTGCTGCTTAGTCTCTTCTGAAGTTACTCTTTGATTCTGTTTGCTTAGATTCCTGGCAACACTAATTAGACTGAACTGAGCCTGTGGTGAATAAAGTCAGCACAGGCAATTTTAAGGAGACACTTAAATCTCATATTTTTACTTTCTGTGAAAACATTCTGGACATAGATCTCACAGCTCCATCTCTGGTTTGCACTCACTGGGATCAGTGTAGACAGAGCAGGAGTGCAGTGACACACACACACCCCTCTGGGTTGCTCTGCAGCAGTGAAGATGAAAGTCATTGGTACTTATAGAATTATAGAATATCCTGAGCTGAACAGGACCCACAAGAATCATCAAAGTGCAACTCCTGACCCTACACAGGACAGCCCCAAAAATTACTCTGTGTATCTGAGCATGTTATCCAAACACTTTTG